AAATTATTAGAGAAAGAAGACGATTCGTTGTACCGTTCTCAACTCGTCTAAATGAAGTTTTCCCCTAGCGCGCAAAGCGCAGAATTTTCGGCGTTTCATCACAATATAGAGAAGAAGATATATATAAAGGAAGACGATTCCTCGTAGTTCGAATTTTATTAAGCCCTATTCATCTAAATTCAGTTTCCCCCTCTCGCGCGAAGCGCGAAAGCTTTGACGTTTCCTCATTTTATTAGAGAAACTACACGATTAGTTGTACCGTTTTCGACTCTTAATAAGCCCCATTAATTATGTCTGAATTCAGTTTCCCCCTCTCGCGCGAAGCGCGAAACTTTTGACGTTTCCTCAAATTATTAGAGAAAGAACACGATTCGTTGTACCGTTTTCGACTCTTAATAAGCCCCATCAATTATGTCTCAATTCAGTTTCCCCCTCTAGCGCGAAGCGCGGAAGCTTTGACGTTTCTTGAAATTATTAGAGAAAGAAGACGATTCGTTGTACCGTTCTCAACTCGTCTAAATGAAGTTTTCCCCTTCCGCGCAAAGCGCGGAATTTTCGGCGTTTCATCACAATATAGAGAAGAAGATATATATAAAGGAAGACGATTCCTCGTACCATTTTCGAATTTTATTAAGCCCTATTCATCTGAATTCAGTTTCCCCCCTTTGCGCGAAGCGCAAAAGCTTTGACATTTCCTCAAATTATTAGAGAAAAAAACACGATTCGTTGTACCGTTTTCGACTCTAAATAAGCCCTATTAACTTTGTCTGAATTCAGTTTCCCCTCTCGCGGAAGCTTTGACGTTTCCTTAAATTATTAAAGAAAGAAGACGATTCGTTGTACCGTTCTTGACTCGTCTAAATGAATATTTCCCCTTTTTTTGGCGTTTCATCACAATATAGAGAAAGGAAGACGATTGCTCGTACCGTTTTCGAATCTTATTAAGCCCTATTCATCTGAATTCAGTTCCCCTCTCGCGCGAAGCGCGGAAGCTTTGACGTTTCCTTAAATTATTAGAGAAAGAAGACAATTCGTTGTACCGTTCTCGACTCGTCTAAATGAAGTTTCCCCTTCTGCGCGAAGCGCGGAATCTTTGGCGTTTCATCACAATATAAAGAAAGGAAGACGATTCGTCGTACCGTTGTTGACTCTTAAACCTTGTTTGAATTTAGTTTCCCCGAAAATTTTAAACCTCTGATTTCTTCAGCTGATATTATAGGAAAGCGAAACTTCGAGAAAATACAAGTATTGTAGTTGTCGTCACTCTCGAAGTCGTCACAGCGGATAAGAAGTCACAGTTCGTAGGGAAAAGAACTTGTCGGCAGACCGACAATATACATCTCACCAACTTCAAACTTCTGCATTGATATAGTACACGAGGATCGAGCAAGAATACCGACACAGCTGACCCGACACAGCAACATATTTACCCGTGTCTTTCTTGCTCCCTCGACGAGACAACTCCACCCAACAACCCCCTTCTCTCTTTTACTCCCTCTCCTCCTCTATCAGGCTCTTACCTCCCGTCTCTCTCCTCTCTTTCACCCCCCGTTTCTTTTGTTTCCCTTTCACTCTTTTTTCTTTTTTTTTCTTTTCTTTCTTTTCTTTCTTTTCCTTTCTTTCCTCTCCTCCCTCTTTTTCTTTTTCTCTTTCTTTCTTTCCTTTCTTTTCCTTTCTTTTCCTTTCTTTCCTTTCTTTCCTTTTTTCTTTTCTTTCCTTTCCCTCTTTTTCCCTCTCTTTTTTCCCTCTCTTTTTCTCCCTCTCTTTTTTCCCTCTCTTTTTCTCCCTCTCTTTTTCCTTCTCTTTTTTCCCACTCTTTTCCTCCCTCTCTTTTCTCCCTCTCTTTTTCTCCCTCTCTTTTTTCCCTCTCTTTTTTCCCTCTCTTTTTTTCCCTCTCTTTTTTTCCCTCTCTTTTTCTCCCTATCTTTTTTCCTTCTCTTTTTTTTCCCACTCCTTTTCTCCCTCTCTTTTCTCCCTCTCTTTTTCCCACTCTTTTCTCCCTCTCTTTTTTCCCTCTCTTTTTCCTTCTCTTTTTTTTCCCTCTCTTTTTCTCCCTCTCTTTTTTCCTTTCTTTTTTTCCCACTCCTTTTCTCCCTCTCTTTTTTCCCTCTCTTTTTTTCCCTCTCTTTTTTTCCCTCTCTTTTTTTCCCTCTCTTTTTCTCCCTATCTTTTTCCTTCTCTTTTTTCCCACTCCTTTTCTCCCTCTCTTCTCTCCCTCTCTTTTTTTCCCACTCTTTTTCTCCCTCTCTTTTTTTCCCTCTCTTTTTCTCCCTCTCTTTTTTTCCCTCTCTTTTTCTCCCTCTCTTTTTTCCTTCTCTTTTTTTCCCACTCCTTTTCTCCCTCTCTTTTTTCCTTCTCTTTTCTCCCTCTCTTTTTCTCCCTCTCTTTTTCTCCCTCTCTTTTTCTCCACTCTTTTTCTCCCTCTCTTTTTTTCCCTCTTTTTTTCCTTCTCTTTTTTCCCTCTTTTTCTCCCTCTCTTTTTTCCTTCTCTTTTTTTCCCACTCCTTTTCTCCCTCTCTTTTTTCCCTCTCTTTTTTTCCCTCTCTTTTTTTCCCTCTCTTTTTTTCCCTCTCTTTTTCTCCCTATCTTTTTCCTTCTCTTTTTTCCCACTCCTTTTCTCCCTCTCTTCTCTCCCTCTCTTTTTTCCCCACTCTTTTTCTTCCTCTCTTTTTTTCCCTCTCTTTTTCTCCCTCTCTTTTTTTCCCTCTCTTTTTCTCCCTCTCTTTTTTCCTTCTCTTTTTTTCCCACTCCTTTTCTCCCTCTCTTTTTTCCTTCTCTTTTCTCCCTCTCTTTTCTACCTCTCTTTTTCTCCCTCTCTTTTTCTCCCTCTCTTTTTCTCCCTCTCTTTTCTCCCTCTCCTTTTTTCCCTCTCTTTTCTCCCTCTCTTTTTCCTTCTCTTTTTCCCCACTCCTTTTCTCCCTCTCTTTTTTCCTTCTCTTTTCTACCTCTCTTTTCTCCCTCTCTTTTTCTCCCTCTCTTTTCTCCCTCTCTTTTTCTCCCTCTCTTTTTTCCCTCTCTTTTTCTCCCTCTCTTTTTCCTTCTCTTTTTTTCCCACTCTTTTTCTCCCTCTCTTTTTCTCCCTCTCTTTTTTCCCTCTCTTTTTCTCCTTCTCTTTTTCTCCCTCTCTTTTTTTCCCTCTCTTTTCTCCCTCTCTTTTTTCCTTCTCTTTTTTTCCCACTCCTTTTCTCCCTCTCTTTTTTCCTTCTCTTTTCTACTCTCTTTTTCTCCCTCTCTTTTTCTCCCTCTCTTTTTCTCCCTCTCTTTTTTTCCCTCTCTTTTTCTCCCTCTCTTTTTCCTTCTCTTTTTTCCCCACTCTTTTTCTCCCTCTCTTTTTCTCCCTCTCTTTTTCTCCCTCTCTTTTTTCCCTCTCTTTTTCTCCCTCTCTTTTTCTCCCTCTCTTTTTTTCCCTCTCTTTTTCTCCCTCTCTTTTTTTCCCTCTCTTTTTCTCCCTCTCTTTTCTCCCTCTCTTTTTCTCCCTCTCTTTTTTTCCCTCTCTTTTTTTCCCTCTCTTTTTTTCCCTCTCTTTTCTCCCTCTCTTTTTTCCCTCTCTTTTTTCCCTCTCTTTTTCTCCCTCTCTTTTTTCCTTCTCTTTTTTCCCACTCTTTTTCTCCCTCTCTTTTTCTCCCTCTCTTTTTCTCCCTCTCTTTTTCTCCCTCTCTTTTTTCCCTCTCTTTTTTTCCTTCTCTTTTTTCCCTCTCTTTTTCTCCCTCTCTTTTTCTCCCTCTCTTTTTCTCCCTCTCTTTTTCTCCCTCTCTTTTTCTCCCTCTCTTTTTCTCCCTCTCCTTTTTTCCCTCTCTTTTTCTCCCTCTCTTTTCTCCCTCTCTTTTCTCCCTCTCTTTTTCTCCCTCTCTTTTTTCCCTCTCTTTTTTTCCCTATCTTTTTTCCTTCTCTTTTTTTTTCCCACTCTTTTTCTCCCTCTCTTTTTTTCCCTCCCCCTTTTCCGACGGCAGCGCAATTTTACCGACAATATCCTGACACCCCCACACCCTTTGGCGACGCCCCTGGGTACATTTCAAAGCATTTTCTCACCAGCTTATCTCAGTTTTATCTGTGTTTTATGTTTTCTCTTCATTTTTTCATTTACCTCTTTTTAAATTGTTTATTCTTCTTGCATTTCCCTTCTTTTTTTGGGGTGGGGGGGGGGGGGGGGGGTGGGGTGGAACAGGGGCGGATCTAGCTTTTTGCTAAGGGGGGGGTTTGACCAAAATAATGACGATGCAGAGCATCGTCCACGAGCCGCGTAGCGGCGAGCCGATTTTTTTTGGGGTGTTTATTTGAACCCCGTAAGTGATGTTTTCCTGGCATCTATTAACACAATGGAGACCATAAAAAGCAGTGCATGATAACGTCTTTTTAAATCAAGTAACAGCTTAATACACAGTTATATCCAGCCTTTTTATCATGTGTTTGGTTAAGTTACCAGATGAGTTGAATATCTTCTCACAATATTTGCACTTGAAAGGGTTTCTCTCCAGCGTGCGTTCTTTTTTCTTTCTTTCTTTCTTTCTTTCTTTTTTTTTTTTGTTTTGTTTTGTTTTTGGGCCGCCCAAGGGGGGGGGGGGGGGTTTGAACCCCCTAAACCCCCCCCCCCCCCCCGTAGATCCGCGCCTGTGGAAGGGCGCATCGACTGCGCTTATCATTGCTTACTCGAGTATTGTTGTTGTTGTTTGGTATTATCGGCGTTTCATTCTTTTTAACAATATTTATGCCTTTCACTTTAAAAAAAAAATATTTGTAAATTCGTACTCTTCTAAAATCATAGTTTTAAAAAAATAATATTTGCTCGGTGTTTGTGTTTATACCTTCTGAATTTGCACAACGTGCATTCTATAGAAAATAAGCCCACGGTAATAGCTGACGATGTAGGGATCGATTAATATATCAATATGTGTATAATCAATGTTCATAAGTTTCCATTCTAAAAGACGCAGCTGCATGAGTCTAGCCTTTTATTTTGCACATGCCCTATTTGGCTTACCATAATGCATTAGTATTGCAAGATGGCATCTGACACGGACAGTAGTCTGCTTAATGAAAGTGATATAAAACTGATGAAAATTGAGGCTGATGCAGCCGTTCAGGAAGTAGCATTTGCCGTAAAACATGTGGAAATATCTTCCAAGTTACCTGCATCAGACGATGTCGTGTATCTCAACATAGTTACCAAGGAAAATGATACTTTTTGCATCGAACTCACAGTACAAGGCTTTCGGGTGAGTGGAATCGAGTGGTCGCGGGGTCGTAGCGGGGTAGTAAAAGGCAAGCATCTGTATACAGAGTTCTGCAGCAGTGCAGTGCACGGTGTGCAGGCCTACACTTTGTGTACGTGTGTTTCATGACTCATGATGATGATGTGTGTGTAAATGCGGTTGGATCAATGAATGGGAAACTTGGCAGTGAATCCTGATGTTCAAATTAGAAGAAAAAACTCCAGGAGAAATCTGAATCAAATGATTTGAATAAGTTTAAGGTCTAGACTCCTCCTAGACCCCTAGACCTCTAGATCTAGATCTAGATTCTATATAATTTATTAAATATTTGGCTGCCTAATTTCCATTTTCAATTTTAGTGGGGGGGGGGGGGCATGAAGAACTTTGTACATTGACCGCTGTACAGTGAGTTTATGCGCTCTCAATGGCCAATCCGCTCGAGTGGCTTCAAATTTAAGTGAGAGAGGACCTACTCAACTTGAGCGCAACTTATTAAAGGTCGATGGCAAAGTCAATACGTATAAGTTATAACGTCACACCACAGAGATTTTGACACGTCCTGCTTTAAACAGGTGATACATGTAAATGGCGCACGCACGGCATCGCAAACGCATGAAATAGAAAAATCAATGAACACCTCAGAATAAATTTCCAGTTTGTATATTACATTTAAATTATATGACGCAAAATGAGAATAATTCGAATTTAAAAAATAGTTAAGTAAAACTTAAACTTAAAGGGGTCGTTTAACAATGTTAAATCTGAGATGCATGGCCCTACGTGTGATCATTGTTTGTGATATGGTGTTATATTGTTGTTATTATTATCATTATTATTGTTATTATTATCAGTATTATTATTACTATAATTATTATTGTTAGTAGTATTATTATCATTATTATTCATTATTATTATTATTATTATTATTATTATTATAATTTATTTTAATTATTATTCTTGTTATTAATTACTATTACTATTATTATTATTACCTTCGCTATGGGATTCATGATTTCTTCATAGTTTTGAGCTGCCATGTCATTTGTTCTCCATGTTTATTTATTATGTTCAATATACCCAAAGCATCACATGGACATACGTCCATGTACACTGTACATGTAGCAGTCATTTCACCCTCATTTGATGGGGTGAGTAATGGTGATCTATGTGCTTGAGAATTGGTGATGACTAATACACTTGTAGTGATCAATGAGATCATTGTATAGAGTACCGAAGCTGTGACGTCATAAAAATCTGTTTTTAGAATTTCTCAATTTTTTCTTCATTTCCGAAAGAGCATCAAAAATAATGTCCAAATGTTGAAAACCACTTTAATATGTTAAGTATTGGCTGAGATATGACCATCTGAATAAATATATTCCCCATAGGAACTCGGTGTTATATATGCTCTGGCTCCTAACCATTATGAGCCAGAGCATAACACTGAGTTCCCATAGGACATATATTTATTCAGATGGTCATATCTCAGCCAATACTTAACATATTTAATTGGTTTTCGACAATTGTACATTATTTTTGATACCATTTCGGAAAATGAAGAAAAAATTGCGAAATTCTAAAATTAGATTTTTGATGACGTCACACTTCACCACTCTATTGGTTGACATTGTCATAGTCAGCCTGAGAAATGAGATCATGACACCACTAGACCGTCTGCTGGGAGCTAGAAGTACATTTCATGTACATGTACATCCCTTTTGCAGCCAACATCAAATTCTGTAGAACTGTGCAGGAATTATATGTCATGTACACTGTACATGTAAAGTATGTCCTACATGTACATTGCATAAGATCTGTGAAATTTAAATATTAGCAGTGTCCTACAGTGTATGACCGACTGACTTCTTTTTTCCTTTGGCAGTAACAAAAATGAGCTGTAACAGTACTGTACATGAGCATTTGTTCTAAGAAGTTCTAAGTTTAGTATTGTTTTTCAAATGCTGTTGGAATTGAACCTTTTCATTTTTTGGGCCTGCAAATGGGACATACTGTACATGTTAAGGGAAATCCAGCCCCAAAAGACAACTACTCTGAAAGAAAGTAGAAAAATCAGAGAAGCAAACTGATGAAATTTTCAATTAAATCTGACTAAATATAGTATGTCTTAACATGTATACAAAAGTTATGAATTTTTGAAAGTTGTAATTACATGTACATGTATGTACAGTGTATGGGCTCTTCACATTGGCTGAAGTGGTAATGTCAATGTGATGTAGTGCCGGACTACTTTCCCATCTGTTCCAACATATAAAATGACTAAAATTTACATTTTTCAAAAATTCATTGCTCAGGAGGGTACATTCTTTTGAGGACCTACATGTATCTATAATATATTTTGAGTAGTGCCCCAAGGGAGAAGAAAATTACAAGAAAAACAGAAATTAATGATATTTTTGTATACGGCAAATGAGAGAGTTATCCACAATCCACCGACCAAACTACCAATTTGAGATTCGAATATACATGTAGACTTTAATAGTGATCTCATATTTGAAACAATCATAACTTCCTTTCTATTGCTCCGATTCATTTCACATTTTTACTATTCTGTTTCTGTTATTTTTCTGTTTTCATACAAATCAACTTATTACAAGGGTTGGATTGCCCATGAATAAAGTAAAGTTCTGATCATGCGATTGCAGTGTGAAAGAAACGGTGTGGAATCGATCAGAAAGAGTTGATCATGTACACTGTATGTATTGGTGTGTACTGCAAGGTTCTGGAATCATCAAAATGATAAGAAATTTGGCCCAGTCTTAAAGGTAACAAGCACTGTACACAGAAAGATGTTCATGTATGGGCATACACAAACATGTGGCATAAAAATGAGGCCCACATAAAGCTGTTTTAATGTTACATCATAACATATGTCATATTTAGAATATGAAGGCATTTAAAGAGCCATGATTTTCAGGGAACATTTTTTCTCTGATCTTCCACATTTGCATATTATTTTTCACCTCTCCCCAGAACTCAGCCTTCTCTTTAACATTGCAAAGCTTTAGGAAGTTCTTTCTCTGATATTCGTTATGGTCTTTACAGAGGCCAATGATGTGGCTCTTTAAGTTTAGCATGATATAGTTCTACATGGAAACATGGAGAGTCTAATAAGATTTATAGAGACATATCACAAGCTATAACGCTCTCCTGCTACATAAATGTACCTATGGCAAAAGATGAAGTATGTAAAAAAGATAATCAATCAAGCGTTGGGTTTATAAATAAGGGACAGCAAACTCTTGTAGGGTTTCGGATTCCACTTTGACCTACTGAATAAAATTATATTCAATTCAATTCAATTCAATTATTTTTATTCATCCAAATTCACAAGAATACATGGAAATTTGTTTTGGTCACACATTGTACAAATACGTACCGGTACATACAGGATATCGTTGTGTTTATAATCATAGAAGAATCATCAAAATAAAAAATAAGACAAGATACAATGTAGAAATATTCTCATATTCTAGTACATGTAAATACACATTGGAAATGATGTAAAGGATAGAACATCAGTGTAAAGGAGAGAAGGAAGGAAAACTATGGCAAGCCAATACCTGGGCCCGGCCACACACATGCTCCTCACTCCATTTGAAACTACAAACGGAGTATGGAACATACTGTATGAAACCAAATACATGCTCTGACTTCGGTGTCACATGCATTTTCCACAGTCCTCAAAGTGAAAGTAGTACATCACGTTTATCATTGTCAATGGTTGCATGAGAAATTTAGTCACCGTATCGATGTTCATGTATAATGCATGCTATTTTGGTAGCCTAATTGAAAGGGCAGGCATCTCTGTAATTAAGTGGTAGATGGTAATGGTTGTTTTTAATGAGATCACCCATAGCAATCAAGAAATAAATCATTATCTCAGTAAGATACATACATGTACAACTGTACATGTACTTTCATACTGTACACTGAGGCAGACTTCGCTGAGAGGAGAAGGGGAGGGAAAGATGCAGGAAGACAGAGCTTTACGAGATAGAGAGGAGAAAGAATGAGAGAGAGAGAGAGAGAGAGAGAGAGAGAGAGAGGGGGAGAGAATGAGAGAGAGAGAGAGAAAGAGAGAGAGAGGGGGAGAGAATGAGAGAGAGAGAGAGAGAGAGAGAGGGGGGGGGGAGAGATGGAGAGAGAGAGAGAGAGGGGAGAGATGGAGAGAGAGAGAGAGAGAGAGAGAGAGGGGGAGAGATGGAGAGAGAGAGAGAGAGAGAGAGGGGGAGAGATGGAGAGAGAGAGAGAGAGCGGGAGGGGAGAGATGGAGAGAGAGAGAGAGAGGGGAGAGATGGAGAGAGAGAGAGAGAGAGAGAGAGGGAGAGATGAGAGAGAGAGAGAGAGAGAGAGAGAGAGGGGGAGAGAATGAGAGAGAGAGAGAGAGAGAGAGAGGGGGAGAGATGGAGAGAGAGAGAGAGAGAGAGAGAGAGGGGGAGAGATGGAGAGAGAGAGAGAGAGAGAGAGAGGGGGAGAGATGGAGAGAGAGAGAGAGAGAGAGAGAGAGCGGGAGGGGAGAGATGGAGAGAGAGAGAGAGAGAGAGGGGGAGAGATGGAGAGAGAGAGAGAGAGAGAGAGAGGGGGAGAGAGGGAGAGATGGAGAGAGAGAGAGAGAGAGAGAGAGGGGGGGGGGGGTTGGTGTGAGAATGAGAGGAGAAGGAGGAGGAAAAAAGATATGAAGTTGGACAATTTGAGAGGTGTATTCATATTGAATTTGTGCATGCAATGAAGAATATACAGTGTATTGGGATAAAGACAGGGAATATGCTATGTAATGTCAACAAATATAACAAAACTTTACAGAAGTTAAAAGTAACTACACTGTAGAAATTAGGTTAATGAAAACCTCAGTAAAACATTATTAAGAAATGTATGAAAAATGTATAACACACACAGTAATGACCAAGAGTTTTCTGTTTGGTTCACCTTCTAATATTCTTCACCTTTCGAAAAACCAACCACCCTTTGTATTATTGTAATTTAAAGTGAACCTTCCCTGTGAAGGGTTTTCACACAATTCAGTAATGAGTCACATGCTATCAAGCCTCCATTTAACATGCATCACATTTTTAATTGGAATAGTGCATTCCACTCATTCCGATAACTGACAACAATAGATGCCTATGCGTTCATGTAAATGTGTACTGTATGCATACAGTACATGTAATGTTGTTCTTGCTTGTACATTTTGTAACACCAAGATCATTCATATTTATATGAAGGGGGCACATGCTTCCTATCACTTAATGTCTGTATCTTATTAGTTATATTACTCTGCAGTTTGTATCTAAACATAAAGCACTCCCTGTCCAACTTTTGTATATTAAGAGGGCACATGACTCCAATCACTCGTCCCTATCTCATTATTAGATTCACACTGCAGTTTGAATCTATGAATAAAGTATAAAGCAATCCTTGTCCAACTTTTTATATGAAGAGGGCACACGCCTCCAATCATTCGTCACCTGTACATGTTCATCATGTATCTCGTTATTAAAGATAAAGACCAGTTCTGGTCATGGGATTGCATTGTGAAAGAAACGTTGTGGAATCGATCAGAAAAGGTTGATCATCCAGCATATAAGTATTGGTGTGTACTGCAAGGTTCTGGAATCATCAAAATGATAAGAAATTTGGCCCAGTTTTGGAAAAGTTACAAAGCACTGTACACAGAAAGATGTTTATGGAACTACGCGACACGTGCACGACACGTGCGTTATATCTATCAGGTCCAAATAGATATAATAATTTACCAAATATATCAATTAGTAGGCGGGTTTTCTGCAAAATTTGTATGCTCACGTATTAGTCAAAACATATTCTTTCACATGATTGGTAATGGTATTATAAGAGCTTCCATTTCATTTTTTGAGAGGGGGGCATTTCCAAAACTCAAATTCACCCTGCAGTTTGTATCAAAATATAAAGCGCCCTTTGATCAACTTTTTTATATGAAGAGGGCGATGACTCCAATCCCTCATCACCTGTATCTCGTTATTACTGTAGCTCCACACTGCAGTGTACATACCAAGCCTAGCTACACTGTGTCATGTGATATCTAAGGTAGATTGGAAACTACACACTGTACATGTTCACACTGGTTAGTAATGAAAGATGATCGGATGTCAAAAGAATTTAATGATTTCCTTTTCTCTGCCTTTCTTCATCTTGTAACATGAACAGCCATCCAGTTTATTGCCTGCACCATAATTTATCATCTAGAGTTACATTTTTAAAGTTGTACATATTTTTTATGGTTTTAAAGGTATAGACCAGTTTTGGAAATGCTCCCCCCCCCCCTCTCAAAAAAAGAAATGGAAGCTCTTATTTAATACCAATCATGTGAAAGAATATGTTCTGACTAATACGAAATGATACAAATTTTGCCGGGAAACCGTCTACTAATTGATATAATTGGTAAATTATTATACTGTATACACATGTACATGTACATGTACATCTTCCTGTGTACATTGCTTGTAACCTTACCAAGACCGGGTCAAATTTCTTATCATTTTGATGATTCCAGAACCTTGCAGTACACACCAATACTTATATGTACATGTACATGCTAGATGATCAACCTTTTCTGATCGATTCCACAACGTTTCTTTTACTATGCAATCGCATGACCAGAACTTGTCTACACCTTTATATACAAGCTTGTTTTTTTATTCACTCTAGTAGAAGTGTTGCAGTGATTTCTAAATTTATTTTTGCCACTAGATCTAATATCAGTTGTCCATTTTTTCAGAGCATTTTGGAGCGTTTTAAAGGTACAAGTCATTACTTGTAGATATGCCATGCGGATGCATTAAAATTTGAGGTTACCCCACCTTATATTAAAAATTAATGATTGCCCAGCTTGTAGTTTTAAACGTGGAATAAAATATGTACATGTAGTTATTTTGGTCCCGTACATGTATGAACTATGAACCCTTGTCATTGTCTGGGTAAAAATTGTTTATTTAACTTTGAGGTTTCAAAAGCTTTAATTTGATGATCCGGTGTAAACATAGCCATTGTATAAAGGTAATGTCTGTGAAAGCTATCTGTACTAGAACCCAAAATCACAAAATCCCCTCTAGCGCCAACTCAGGTCAGCTGTATGCAGTATGGTCCTGTAACTCGCTGTTTCCCTAGCTGCTCTGGTGGTTCTCGCATTAAGTCCGCTTTCTGCTAAGTAGAAATTAAGTATTTGGTATTAAAGCACTGTTCAAGTTGACCATGAGATAGCACTGTGCAATAAACAGTACGCTATGGGCCTAAAGTTCATCAGTACGGTATCGCTTTAAAGGTAAAGGCCAGTTTTGGAAACGCCCCCCTCTCAAAAAATGAAATGGAAGCTCAGATTTTGACTAATCATGTGAGAGAATATGTTTTGACTACCGTAATACGTCATGATAACAATTTTGCATTTGGTAAATTATCTATCCAGACCGGGTAGATATCGCGCACGTGTCGCGTAGTCCAATATACATCTTTCTGTGTACAGTGCTTGTAACTTTACCAAGACTGGGCCAAATTTCCTATTATTTTAATGATTCCAGAACCTTGCAGTTCACATAAATACTTGTATGCTAAATGATCAACCTTTTCTGATCGATTCCACAAGGTTTCTTTCGCAATGCAATCGCATGACCAGAATTGGTCTACTGGTATACCTTATAACATGAGTTATACTCTTGTCATAAGAGGGCACAGTGTCATACTATGACAATCATTTGAACACCATTCTTCAAATTCTATGTCAGCAGTATCGAATGACAGCTGACAAGGAGTTGACTGTACTGTAATGCACCCTAGAGACTAGATAGAAAGTTGGCAGTGAGAAAGAAAGAGAGAAAGAGATGAGAGAAAAACAGGTTTAGAAAGGAGAGAGATATAGCAAGTGAGAAGAGAGAAAGAGAGTGAGAGAGAGAGAGAGAGAGAGAGGGATATAGAAAGAGAGAAAGAGAGTGAGAGAGAAAGAGAGGGAGAAAGAGAGGGAGAGAGAGAGAGGGAGAGAGATAGATAGATAAGGAAGGGATATTGGGGTAATGTTAACATGAACCTTTTGCAGCTTGTTTAATGATGACCTTTTTCACGGCAAGAAACTTTCACAAGTTGCAAGAATTTAATTTGACAGTGTACATCAATTATATCACGGCATGAAGCTTGTGAATCTCACAAAATTGTTGAAAAGTTCATGCACACAAAAATTACTTGTTGTACATGTATATAATTCTGTATATATCTCTTCAAAATTGAATGTTTTTGGTAAGATGTTAATCCACATTTGCCTCTCCCCACCCAGGTGTTGATGGGTACCCATATAGTATGCTAGTGCACTACATTTTTGGCCGCTTGGCTAGGAGCACCAAGAGCATTGTGGAGTGATAGACACATGAGGGTTATAGAAGCCGTCATTACTATGTGCTTGTTGTTGATTAAAGACATCGTTTAACAATGTTAACCTTGAGATGCATGGCCCTACATGTTATCAGTGTCTGTGATATGGTGTTCTTTTGAAGCCCTAAAAAAATTGCGATTCAAAATGATCATGAAGTGTCTCAAAAAATCTTGAGTGAACGGTTTTTCCACACTCATTTTCTCCAATAGACCTTAGTGTTATAAAAACCGTGAGGAAAACAAAAAAAATGAAATTTCGATTTCCAATCAGAAATATCTTGATAATCAGACAGGCGATCGGCTTGTAAAAGTCATAAGATTCCTGACTGACCTAAAGGTTAATAATTGTGATTGTAAATCCAAGATTTTGTTTCAGAATCTGAGGCAATGTTTAATACAGAGTCATTCGATTGCATTGGGAAATAAATGTTGTGGAATCGATCAGAACACGTTGATCATCTACATGTACATGTAGCATATAAGTATTTGTGTGTACTGCAAGGTTCTGGAATCATCAAAATGATAAGAAATTTGGCCCAGTCTTGGTTTAGTTACAAGCTCTGTACACAGAAAGATGTATATGGGACTACGTGATATCTATCCAGTCCGGATAGATTATGATAATTTACCAATTATATCAGCTAGTAGGCAGTTTCCTGGCAACATTTTTATCATCACGTATTAGACAAAACATATTCTTTCACATGATTGGTAATAAGAGCTAGCTTCAATTTCATTTTTTGAGAGTGGGGCATTTCCAAAACTGGTCTTTACCTTTAATACAATCATATGATATCTGTTTTCCTCCTCCATATTGTTTTCTAACATTTTTTGTCTGATCTTCCCTTTCAGGTTATCGGACATGAATACGATACCATCACCAAGGACATCTCTACACCCTACTTCGAAACCATTTACTCCCTCCTTGATCATTACAGCCCTAAGTATAGGCTGACATTTGGCCAGGCTCTCGCTGATAAACTGCAGGAACTCCAAGAGACTGAGATAGGAAACAGCGAGGATGAGGAAAAGTAGGGGGGGAAAGTGCTCTACAACTCGCGAGACTGAAAAATAGCTTTACGTTTAGAACATGGAGAGCTGTAGGTGATAAGTAGAATCTGCACCCTTGAGGAAAAGGAACAGAATTAATTCCAGTGTCGGCCAGGCTCTCGCGGATAAACTGCAATTTACTCCAAGAGACGGAGATAAAAAAAACAGTGACAATGAGGAGAAGTAGGCGGGGAAGTGCTCTACAACTCTTGAGACTGAAAAATAGCTTTACACTTAGAACATGGGGAGATGTAGGTGATAAGTAGAATCTGCATCCTTGAGGAAAAGGAGCAGAGGCAGTTTCGTCGTCTCTTCATCAAGTTTCCCACCGAAGAGAAGAATACTGAAGAGAGAGGAGAGAGCGGATGAATGAAAGGCACATTCTGCAAACCCCAGCAAGGAATGAAAATAGCGAGATGGAAAAATAAGAGGGGAAGTTATCTTTCATTCTCCTGATTTCTATTGGAGAAGAGTCTTGAAAATTAGAAAGTGATTGTCAAACCCTGCAACCTTCAGGTGACAGAGGTAGCAAAAATTAGATGAGGATGAGGATTACTGGAGAGAGAAATGCCTGCTTCTTCAGCATCCGATTGAACAAAAGAATACTTAAAGGAATAATGAGACGGTTTTATAGGACTTTGGAACTTTCCATGATTGTGGCAAAATGTGATCGAGAAGTTATTGCTTGAGGAAAAGAGGAAGGGTGACAGACGGAAGATATTATGGAGAAGGAGGACAGTTGGAAGGAAAGGAAGGGAACGGGGGCGTTTCACAAAGCCTTTTTTCAATGACAAATAACAAAAATCAGTGACAAATCTGCTGAAAACCAATCAGAAGCAAGGATTTCAGTAGCTTATAACACAAATTGTCATTTGTCACTGATGACAAGTTTTGTGAAACGTCCCCCTGATTTGTCCTCGTCATCTGTGGATGCTGGAGGACCTAAAAATGAATATCCAGAGATGTGTTCTTCTCAAAATCAGTTTACCATGAGTCTGCCTTCCCAAGTACTATCAGTCTTTGTATTATGAAGTTAATAATCAGTTATTGCTGTGAGTACTGAAGATGAGAATGATGATGATGATGGATGATGGACGATGATGATGATGATGATGATGACGATGATGATGATGATGATGATGATGGATGATGGACGATGATGATGATGATGGATGATGGACGATGATGATGATGATGATGATGATGATGATGATGATGATGATGATGATGATGATGATGATGATGATGGTGATGATGATGATGATGATAATGGATGATGATAATGGATGTTGATGATGGCATTGATGTAACAATGAAAAAATAAATTTAATATCAGTTTTCACAAGTTTAAACTGATATATACTAACATTATAATGGTATAATTTACAAGTGGAGATGAAGGAAATTAAATCTACAACTGAACAAATGCTGTGGTGAATGAGGAGTAAGCGTGTTTTACCTACCTATAAATCTATTATAGTTGACATTCTACTAAGCCTTTAAATTAAAACGACTCGTCGTAATATTTCATGCAAGATCATGTCTTGAATTGTCTTCTGTAACTACATCTCTATGCTGCATTGATATTGAAACATTTCATAAAAGATTGTAGTGATTAATAATATTGATGTATTTATGTAGTCGGTTTTGTCTAAATGTATTGATCTTCCATGACTAGCAACACATACTCATTGAGTAATTGTACAAATTATGCAATTTCTTTTTCAGTATTGGCCAATTTATATACAAGAAATAGTTTGGTGGTCTACTGTTTGTGTATGATTTTGCTTCATATTAAAATTCTAGTGACATACATGTATGGGCTCGTGGTATAAAACTTACATTGATGGTATCAAACTCTGCCATCAATGGCAACTTCAATGGTAACAGGGCTCAACAGCCAATCAAAATCAAGGTTTCCATGGTAGTTACCATTGATAGCAAAGTTACCCTAAAATTTGTATTGTTTTTGTGCAACGGGGCCTGGTATTGAAAAGTGTATTTTGATTTTAGTTCACGTTTTAACAAACTTTTCAACCAAGCTTTCAGCATGTTCACAATGCTACTAAGCATTCATTCAAACTGTACTATACTATACTGGAAGAAGAAGAAGAAGAAAAAGAAACTCTTTCGATGGATTGAGACACTTTTGTACTTGTTTAAATAAGAATCATCCACATATAGTGAGAAGAAAAGAGAGAATTCCAGTTCATGAATTACCTTTTCATTAATTCAGATTTTTTTTTTTATTGTTTCAGAGAAATTTGAGGGGGATATTGTTGAATGTAAAAAGTAAGTAAATATTAACACGTTCTGCATTGTAAAGCTTGTTTTGAAGTGAGAATTGGGCTAGTTTTCTAAAAGGTGGTTCATATTACAGTACATAGTGAGGAGATCATATACAGAGAAAAAAATACACGGGGGCCCCGGGGCGAATTTGACCCCGAAATGCCCCAAAAAGCCCCCCAAAATCAGAAAAGAGCCACCGTAACTTTGCATAGAGTTCAATGCAAAACAAATTTTAGAGTGTCATTTTTATGCAGGCAAGCTTGAAAAGTAGCCCCTGAAAAATAATTATTAATTTTTCCCTGTGAATGTAAAACATGGTCACTTATGAGCAAAATCAGTTTTCTTGTGAATAGAGGTTATACAAGATCTTCCTAAAATTGTTGAATCTGTGAGTTACATACACATGGACATGGGGTCATGTACAGTGTATGTGGCTAAAGACATACATGTATAGGCTGAATATGCTTTTTTTCCTTTTCAAACCCATTTCTTGCCTGCAAACGTTGTTTTGGCCTTTTGGAAACAGAAAAAAAAAATGCTTTGGCAGTGCAAGGTACAGGATGTTTGTTTCAATTATTTATATTTTGCTAAATATATCTGTAGATTGTATTTACAATGTAGTTTGAAATGTATACTTTGTAGACAACAAATTTTCTATTTGTTGATTTTCTTCCTGTTTTTTTTCCTGAATTTTTGATTTTTTAAAAATAATTTTCAGCTTGTGTACATGCAAATATCAAAGGGAATGTACCGCACTGATAGGATTTAGGAGAAAGTACAGAACATCTATTTTTAAAGTGTACTAGAGAGGTATAGCAGTACAAGTAAAATATATAGGGGGTGTAGAAAGAGAGAGAAAGAGAGAGAGAGAGAGAGAGAGAGAGAGAGAGTAGAGGGAGGGAGAAAGAGAGATAGGGGAGGGGGTGTAGGAGTTAGAGGAGGGAGCGAGAGAGAGGGATGTATGAGGGAGAGAGAGAGAGAGAGAGGGAGAGAGAGGGGGGGGGGGGGGGAGGAAGGGAGGGGAGAAAGATGAAGAGTACTTATTCTAGATAGCAACCAGAATATGCTCTGGTTGGCAAGTGTCTTTATGATTCCACCTACCAGTATCTCAAAAGCATTGTAATAAAAAGTGTCAAATATTACTGTACTGTATCTTATTGTGAGACGATCAATAATATTTACTCTGGAGAGAAATCCATCTACATATACTTTAAGATTTCAAATAACCAATTTCTAAAGATGACAATTTCACTTTCTGACATGTGGACAAAATTACTCAAACAATCATGTGATATTCCATTTCAATTTAACATATCAATACATTAGTGTACACGTGTCAGCTGTGTCAGGTTAAGTTCAACACACACTATATGATCCTTCTGCAATTCATAATTAAATCAATTGCAGTGGAATTGGATTTGGAAATTTAAACATAAAATATCTTCCTGATTGGAGTTCCGATATGATAACCAACAATCAATGTTTTAGTCGCCGTAAAAATGCCAGATCGGCTTAAAACGTAGACACTCAAACGACTGAAATAATGTCCCTGCAATTCTGAGCCGACATGAATTTTACTTACCTCAAGGAAGCTTGTAGTCCCCTGCAATAATTATTTCATTATTCCTTTAAGAATTTTGAACCTCAATTATTAAATATGTCATGTTTGAATGTTCATGTCAAAAACTATTGCAAATTTGTACCAAGATTATCTTATTTTAATGTGATGGCAAAGGGATGAAAATGTAAAAGGACAGAAAAAATGGATGAAATGTGTCTTCTTTTGTCTTCATATCTTGTAAAAGAAAGCTCAGTACTCTGATGAACATATGAACAGGGAATATTATCATACATGCACTCGTTTTCACTTCCGGTACAGGAACATTCAATAAAAAAGTACTCTTTCAAGCAAAATTGACATTGGTCTACAAAATGCCTAATTTGTATAGGAGTGAATTACTGGTAGACTGAACGTGAGATGGAGAGAGAGAGAGAGAGAGACAGGGAGAGAGATAAGAGAGAGAGAGAGAGAGAGAAGGAAATAGAGAGAGGAGGGAGAGAGAGAGAGAAAAGAAGGAAAAAGAAGAAAATAGAGAGGGAGAGAGAGAGAGAGAGAGAAGAGAAGAGAGTGTGAGAGAAGAGAGTGAGAGAGAGAGAGATAGAAGGAAATAGAGAGAGAAGGAAGAACGAGAAGAGAGAGAGAGAGAGAAATAGAGAGAGAGAGAAAAGAAGGAAAAAGAAGAAAATAGAGAGAGAGAGAGAGAGAGAGAGAGAGAAGAGAAGAGAGTGTGAGAGAGAGTGAGAGAAGAGAAGAGAGTGAAAGAAAGAGAGAGAGAGAGAGAGAAGAGAGAGAGAAGAGAGAGAGATAGAAGGAAATAGAGAGAGAAGGAAGAACGAGAAGAGAGAGAGAGAGAAGGAAATAGACGGAAATAGAGAAAGAGAGAGGAAGAGAGAGAGAGGTAGAGATTGTATTCATATTGAAAACCGATTTTATAAATTGAATAATTTATGATTTGAAGCTTTTGCATTATAGTGACATGCATTGCACTCGGTTAACTCAAAAGCCGGATAATGAACTCCACAAGACTTCATTTTCTGATTGTGATTTAACCTGTGTGAAATGCACATTCACTTATGCACTTGATCGCAAACATGAATTATTTTTATAGTAAATAGTTAATACTTTCCCTATGAAATGTGAAAGAATACAGTACACTTGATAAAATGTCCTCTTTATACATACAGTATTTATTTTATTTCCTTTTGAAACGAACGAATATGCACTTAAAACTGTACATGTAATTGCATATTATAAGTATATACAATTCATTATTCATAAAATATTTTTACTTTACATTTTCCCTTTTCTTACAATGCATTTTAATCTATGTCAATTAAGACTATAAATAGTTATAATATATTTGTTGAGATAATTATGATTCACATGACAAAATAATTGCTTAAAATGGACTAAAATACGCAAAATAAAATAATCATTTTTTCTTGAATATATCCTAATTGGGCTATGTTGAAGTATATGGCAGTGGCCATGAATGTGATTCTGCGGACAGCACTCAATATTTTAACTATGTTCTTGAGTTCTGATATTGACCAGTGTTTATTATGAAGTAAAAATCATTAATAGAACCCAAAATAACTTTCCCATAATATTTCATGCCAAATAATGACAAATAGTGACTGCTGAGCATTATTAAACACTTTGTTTGCTTTCTGCGTCTCTCTACACGGTTTCTCGTTCGCCACATTGTTCGCACAAACATGTGCAACAACTGACAGAAGGATTGCTTCATGCAACACAATGGCCTTGAAAAATTATCCATTTCCTGTCTTGATCATTAAACTCCAAGGCTAATAATAATAATAGCTAGTTCTTATTATAGCGCTTTTCAGGACCGAAGGCCCTCTGAAAGCGCTTTACAGATAGTTATATTA